CGCAGATGGCCCCAAGGACACGTCACAGGAGGATGCGCTGGCCAAGACGTACCGGCCGTCGTTGAAGACCTTTGAGGAGGAGATCATGGATGCCATGGGCATTGTGGAGACACGAAGGGCCAAGAAATCCTACTGGTATTAACTGGGGGAGCTGGGAGCCCACTGAGGAAGGCCAAGAAATCCTCCTGGTATTAACTGGGAGAGCTAGGAGCCTAGAAATCATACTGGTATTAACTGGGAGAGCTAGGAGCCTAGAAATCATACTGGTATTAATTGGGAGAGCTGGGAGCCTGGAAATCCTTCTGGTATTAACTGGGAGCCCCTTGATACAGGCCTCGAAATCCTTAAGATATAAACTGGGGGAGCTGGGAGCCCCCCAAGGTGGGCTCTGCAATAAACACCCCCTCCATTTTCTGTGTTTGTGTTTTTGGTGCAGCACTGACTCACAGCCAGCCCTGGAGTGTACAAATCCTGGGTTTATTGGTGGTTCTGCCCCTCCCTGGGGGTCTCTGCTTCCTCCACATCCTCATCCTCACTGCTGTGCCCATCCTCACTGTCCTTGGCCAGCCCAGCCAGCGCTGTGGCCAGCGGGGTCCGTGCAGCCACCAGCACCAGGTTCCGTGGGGAGAACCTGGGGTTGAACAGGGGCACGAGGGCACAGTGGAAACCTGGGAAAAAGGGAAAAAGGAGAGTTGGGAGAACAGAGAGAGAGGAAACAGCAGGGGGAGGATCTGTGCCCATGCCCACCTTGCTCCCGCAGGTAGAGCAGCCGGTCCAGCAGGATCAGGGTCTCCACAAGGGGTGCCAGGAGCTGCCCCAGGGTGCAGAACGCCACCACCTTGTGCTGCTGCTCCAGCATGGCCCCCACAGCCCCTGAGTCCAGTGGGACCCCCTTTGGGTCCAGTCCTGCCAGGGGCAGCCCCAGCTGGGCGTATCTGTCATGGAAGAGGGGCAGGGGAGTGCCAGGCAGGGCTCCCCCAGCCCCAAACGCATGAGGAAGATCCCAAAAGGGAGTTCTCCCCTCCCCAAACTCACTGCAGGGCCAGGAAGGGACACAGAAGGTTGATCCCACTCCCCAAACTCACAAAGAGAGTTCCAGAAAAGAGTCTTCCCTCCCCAAACTCATAAGGAGGGTCCTAGAAAGGAGTCCCCCCCTCACCAAACTCATTGCAGGGCCAGGAAGGGACACAGGAGGTTGACCCCACTCCCCACACTCATGAAGAGGGTCCCAAAAAGGGGTTCTCCCTCCCCAGACTCACAAGGAAAGTTCCAGAAAAGGATCCTCCATCCCCAAACTCAGCAGATCTCCCAGAAAGGGCTCGCTGGTGCCACCAGGGGATGCACAAGGAGCATTCCCCATGCCCAGACCCACTGGTGCCCACCAGGGGATG